CAAGAGTGGTGCATGGGTCGATTTTATTACTAAGAACAACAGGATGTCGTAGGCTGGCATTCATATGAAACCCCTAAAGGTAAAGATACCAACCAGAAGGTTATAATGGACACTACCGGTGAAGACTCGCATTCAGTTTTCTATCTCACCACAACCCGTTTTCCTACATTACATTTTAAAACTTTTTCAGGAGCCAGTTTTATGTATTGCAGCTTCTCACTAAGGAAATACCTATGCTATGTATTATGGATCTGAAATCTGACTAGCAGAGCTTAATTACTCAGCGGTCAGTTATCCCACTCAAATGTAGCCACAAGCTGCTTCATACCCATATAACCCCTTCCCATTTACCACAAAAAACAACAACAACTCCAAAACAAAAACATATCAGCTGATAGATTTGAGGTCACACAGAATATTATAAAATTCACATTATACCTCAATTTAGAAAGCTATTCATATGAAACAAGCATTTTAAAGGTAAGGCTCATCTGACTGTGTGACCATACACAGCTAGCAATCAAGAGAGTGCAAAATTTTCTCTAACCAATATAAAAAAAGTTAGTTTAGAGAAGTACCTCTTTCTCGTCATGCCTTTCACTAGCTTTCAACGGATCAGGGTTTAAAAACTGTAGAAGCCTGAAAAACGTACAAGCCCACTTTTCAAACACAGTTAATTTGTTAACACAGACTAATTTATTGAGCCCTCATGTGACCTGTGTCTATTTTCTCAGTTAAAAACAAGCATTCTCATAAGACTCCAAGCTAATTTTGCAATAAGCATTTATTGAAACATTAACTCGTTAGCTGAAGATAATAATGTATACAGTCTTTCTGGAGACTGCCTCAAGTGGCATAACTGAGCATCGTAGCAGGTGTTTGAAACTGCTCTCTGCTGGTTAGCCAGGAGAAGGGTGCCTGCCCAACACCCATGAGAGGAACAGGCAATTGCAAGCCTGCCCTGCAGGGCACTCAGTCAGGGAGTATGTGGCCCCTAGGGAATTGAACCCCTGAAAAGCCTCTGCACAGCCCTCTTTAAACGAAGCGCTTGTCAGCAGATAGTGTTTACTGCCTTATAGGCTTGTCGTGGGAAAGCAATCTATTAGGTTTTTTAAAATTTAAACATTAGTACAAATTAAAAGGCCAATATGGAAAGGTGATAAGCAAACTGAGTCCCAGGGAGGATCCTACTTAGGGTTACCAGGTCCCCCCTAATGAATGCGGGAGACGGGGGGGGGGGGTGTAAGGGTTGCCAGATGCAGGTTGGGAAACTCTTGGAGATTTGGGGGTGGAGCCTGGGAAGGCCAGGGACTTCAGTGGGGTACAATGCCACAGAGTCCACCCTCCAAAGCATCCATTTTCTCCAGGGGAACTGATCTTTGTAGTCTGGAGATGAGCTGTAATTCTGGAGAACTCCTGAGTACCACCTGGAGGCTGGGATCCCAACCCCATCCTACCACTCTGCTGAGCAAAGTTTGAAACCCTCCTCCAACTTATGTGGCTCTTCCACTGGAGGACGAGCCACTTACACTAGAGGAAGAGTCCTTAGATTGGAGGAAGTGGAACACACAGTATTAGAATGTCTTGCATTTCATATGATTGAAACAGCTATTATAGGCATCGATCACAAATGTCCTTCATGACTTTTCACCCTCACAGTTTCCATGAACTGTGATATGTACTAGGTAGTAAAGCTTCTGAAATACCCAGTTTGAATACTGACTACCCCATGAACGTTTTGAACACTGTGACATACTGATTTCATTTCCTAATTGCTACGTGGAATATTCGTTATTGCATAATTCAAAAGGGAGGACTCACTTCAGACAGACGGCTTTCTTATCAAGACCCTTCTCTATCTCATTCTGCTTTTGAGTAATTTTCTGATGCAATGTGCTAGGGGGGAAAACAGAAAATTTGTAAATCTGTAAAAATACTAGCTGGATTTTCTAAAAAGCTACACTTGGAAACACTGTCTGTACACACCAGAATTCTCTCTTCCTGATAGCATCAGGTAACCAAATAAAAAGTTTAATGATACTTTCCACTATACAGTAAGTGGGGCAGAGAAAGTACAGTCAGTTATTAAGAATATCTAAACACTGAAGCCATATTGTTGCAACAGAGCTATTATTTTAAGAGAATCTGGTGGTGGTGGTGGTGGTGGGGAGTCCATCACTATCATCCCTCCATCAAGGGAGACCCATGCCCCCTCGTTATGATATTCCCATTTCTCTATTACTACGTGACTGGCTGAGGATGACAGCTCTATATTGCTGTTTTCACACTGTCCAGATGTACCCATGGTATGATACTCTATCCAAATATACTCAGGCAGGAACTCGCTTTACCCAGATGACTTCCTGACTTCCCCCGTCCATACCTGGTTGGGTGAGATACTCACTTCCATCAATCAGTGTCTTTCCCCACAGCTTAAGAATCCTACCTGCCTCAGAGTCAATGAAATACACTGGCTGAGGAAACTTTCTAACCAAGACTGTGCCTCACTACTTGTTAACATCCATATTTGTGGCAATGCCAGGATCCAGAAGAGCCTTGGCTGTTCCAAAGGGGAGTTGTTGTATATCTCTGAACTCTAGCAGGGGAATGAGCAGATTGGGGTGTGTGTGTGTGTGTGTGTGTGTGCTGTCCTAGTCAGCCAACTAGAATCAGCAAGGGACTGGAAACCCTGTTAGTGGAGGGACAGAACATCTGCCCTGTATTTTGTGAACATCCAAAATGGGAATGAAAGTAATGAACACATTCCTGAAAATTTCCCTCAGACAGTAACAGGATAGGCAGAAGATGGAATTCAGCACAGGAAAAGATGTTAATGTTATTTTATCACAGTGCAGGGGGAAAAACACACTGGCATGGAGGATTTCACGGGCCAAGGGAAGTTTTGACATTGAAAGGAATAATTCGCTCACTGCCATCCACCCCATAGATTCTTTCCCTGAGTGAATCTCTCACTTGAGCTCAGCACTGAGGGATATTGCCTTTCTGGACCTCATTACTTCTCCTTACAGGTAAAATTAGAACAAAGAGGTAGCAGGTTATTACTGCAGCCAAGTTGAGTACCTACATTGCCCCCAATGGAATGCATTCTATGTGAATAACCTGTATAACATCCCATATAACAGAACTGGAGATATGCTTATGAGAGCCAGCGCTAGGACAGTTTACATCAGACAGGAATCACGGGATGTGACTTATTCATTAAAGACACCTCTGTCTTCCCCCCACAATCTGAGCACTGTAACATGTCAACAAAAATAACATAACAGATTAATTTTGCTTTGCATACCATACAGGAGTTCTGTCTCTTCAGCTCAGTCCCTCGCCCATGTAAGGAATTATGAACAACATATGAGCAATCTGAAAATGTACCTTTTATTCTTCCTGTCTGCCTGCACAGCAACTGTGATGCCTTTTTCCAAAGGGGGAACAGTCACCACTACATTCTGAAGCAAGAAAAGAAAGAAAGAAAGAAAGAAAGAAAGAAAGAAAGAAAGAAAGAAAGAAAGAAAGAAAGAAAGAAAGAAAGAAAGAAAGAAAGAAAGAAAGTTTTTTGTTATTCACAGTATGAAAGCTATGACATTTCTATGGTTCTTGCCAAAGCAACTCAAATACAGTTCCGAAATGGGGAACAAAATAATTTTGACAGCTTTGAAAAGCCTGTACAGTGCAGAAGTTCTGATACTATTTTGCTTCCTAGCCAGTCACACCAAGATGGCACTAGACTGGTTCCTCTGCTGTTGCACCACCTCCAAGCCACACCACCACAGGGTTCACCTGAGGCAATTATGAAATTGATTTATCCATCACTCAACCCACCTGTTAAATAGTGGGTTCCATGGATGAACAGACCCCAAGTATAGTTATTAACTCTCTTTATTAGTGATTTCAGCAAGGAGGAGGAGGACTGAAAGTCCCTGGCAGAAACCTGGTTTTTAAGCATGCAAGACACCACACCCCAAACACACCCCACTACCAACTATAGGCTATTTACATTACATTGTTTCTCTATTGGTCCATTGTAGGATCCTTGTTTCTCTATTGGTCCATTATAGGATCCTAGACAGCTATCGTTTGTGGATGCAAACTCAACCCGACCCCCAGGGCTAGTTGAAGCTGACTCATCCTTAGTACACAAAACCACCCTTCTTCTAAGGTACTCATGGGTGTTCCTTCTGCCATCCTGGACTCACACCAACCCTGTTAAGCAGGTTAAGCTGAGAGGGGATGGCCTGAGGTCTAGTGAGCTTCATCTGATACCAGCCCCAAACTCTAAACAATATACACCCCTCCACACAAACAGGCTGATGTGGCACACCCATCACCATCACCCTTTTTAATTAATATATAATGGCCCCGGTCACACGCGAAGGAAACTGCGGGGGAGAAGTGTGGCTGTTTGCCCCGGGGCAAACTAACACGCAGTAAAGTGATCATACCTCCTGTGGAGGTTCTGTGGAGGTACCGTGGAGCTTCCGTGGTTACGGAGAGGCGTCGATCACAACACATGCCTGCGCGCAACAAAGAAGCGCGCGGCGCGGCGAACTGGGTTTCTTTTTTTGTGTACACTACGAATGCGCATGCTCCGTTGAGTGCTTATGCGCAACCACGGAGACTTGGGGGGAAAAAAAACCTTCTTCGCAAGGGGACATGGACGGGCGCCGGATGCCACCGGAAACGCGATCAGACGCCCGCCCTTGCCCCGCAGTTTCCGGAAACTAGTACCTCCGAGGTACTAGTTTTTTGCTCCGTTTTATCGGCGGTTCGCCACAGTTCAACCACGGGAGCTCTACGCTCCCCAGATGTTGCCGTGTGATCGTGCCAGGTAACTCCGCCTCTCTTCCGTCTATTTAGCGTGGCTTCTGCTCCGTGTGAACGGGGCCATTGATAATCTTCATTTGTTATAGAACACCACTATCTATATTACAATGTTTTTAAAGGCGGACAGATTTGCTGACTCAATAGAAATTAACACTACGTGTTGGGAAAGGGAAGCGTATGCCAACTGGGGAAAAAAATTTAAACAGGAAAACGTCCCTATTTAAAATATTCAGATAGGAAAGCAGTACAACATTGCTGTGTGGCATCCTTATTTTCTTCATTTCTAAAGCTGTATGGCAATAGTGGGTGAAAACGCTGATTTAAAAAATGCTTCTGGCATTTCAGAAGTATGGAAGGTTTGAAACTACCCATTAGCAGCGAAGTCAGCAATACCATATGCTGACTGTAACTGTGACTGTCACACTACTGGGAACTGGTCTCTGTTTTTCCTAGGTCACACTGAATTGCTACAAAAACCTACATCCATGTTGATACAGGGGAAAAAATAAAATAAGCAAGTGTAGTGCAGGCAATGTGAGCTCTATAATACTATCCAAGGATTCCCCCAAAGGTATTGCCTTGGATCCTGAGGTAAATTTCTGCTGATGGAAGGAAACTCCATCAGTAGAAAGAGACTTCCTTGTATCCCACTCCCCACCGCTACAGTCCAAAATGATGCCAGAAATGCCAGGACTCACTGACTCAGTTACTGCATTATGGGAGGCAGTTTCCTGGATACTCTCATGTTTTACTTTCTCAGCATTATCAGAAACAGCAGCATCTAAAAGGAAGCAGACAAGTAATTTGTTTAATTTTCATTTCACAAAAACTATAACCACTCGATCCTTAGAAATAATCAACGTAAGACAGCGATATGGATTCACCTGACGTGTACCAAATGTTCACCAGAGCTGGGTCCAATTGTTTTATACATTCCACAGGAATTATTCAGATTGTCAAGGGAAATTCTGTGAAAACTCATGTATTTTCAAATTTTCCACAGCACAGGAAGAAAGTAAAAAATGATGCTATATCACTTGGAACCCATCAGCTCTATGTAGGGACCACAACCAGCATGAGCCATCTCTGGGACAAACTTCATTTGGCAGTTTGCACACATGTGTAAGTCTTGTTAAGCTAGGTAATCCTTACTGGACCGACATTACCTTACATTGATCCAAAAATGAAAGCAGATGTCGGCTACAGCAAAGTTGACCCTGTTCTTCAGTAAATTCACAGCAGTGCAGCTGTTTATATTTTGACCGGCCATGCAAGTGAAACAGGCTTGCAAATGGCCACTTGCCTGGTAGCCTTCAGTGGATATAAATTCCTCAGCTGGGCAGGGAACTTTTGTAAACACAAGGAACCAGGTTCTCTTTTTCTTTTCCAGGTGTCTGTGGCCATAAATTATCCCTGTGCTAATATGTGGGCAGAGAGAGGACAAAGCAGCTAGTGATGGAAGAGCAGGGGTAGACCCAGGAGCAAGCCAAGTGTAGCAGTAGCCTATGCAGTGCTACAAGCTGGCAGTGCAGTGGCCACTCAAGCTTAGATCTGGCCAGCAGCACCAATGACGTGAATCAGCTCAGTCATGATTTTGGTGGCAGTGAAAGAGGAGGCCCGTGGTCCCGAGTCTAGCACTAGCACCGTTATAGGGGTTTAACTCTGCTCTTCCTCTTCAGGGCAAGAGCTCAATGGAAGCTTTCCCTGTAAGTTGAGTGGCCAAGTCACATGAATTTATTTATTTATTTTTGGGATTTATATCCCGCCCTATCCAATCTTCAGCTTAGGGCGGCTAACAGATGGCCATGCCGAAGTTAAAAGTATGCATACAAGCAAAACAACACAATAAAACAATATATCTTACATAAAATTTGGTGCTCTGATAATTTACATAAAAACCAAGATACGCGACGTCCCACACTGGCGGCCAAGTTCTTCATAGCAGGAGCGCCAGGAGAGGTGTTTCCCAGCTCTATTGGGCGACATCTACCCCTACCATATGAGGTAGATGGTTGGAAAATCAGTGGTGGAATAGTGGAGGCGGTGGCTCCCCCTCAAAGGCCTGGCGGAAGAGCTCTGTCTTGCAGGCCCTGTGGAACTGCATCAGGTCCTGCAGGGCCCGGATCTCCTCCGGGAGCTCGTTCCACCAGGTGGGAGCCGCCACCGAAAACGTCCTGGTTTGGGCCAACTTCACTCCTCGGGGGCCTGGGACTGAAGTAGCCTTATGCTGAATCACAGCCTTGGTCCATCAAGGTCAGTTCTGTTTTCCCAGACTGGCAGCTGCTCTCCAGGGTCTCAGGTTGAGAGATTTTTCACATCATCACCTCCCTGATCCTTTTAGCTGAAGAATGAACCTGGAAGGGACCTTATGCATGCGAAACACATGCTCTACCACTGTGCCACAGACCCTCTCTGAGTTTGCCCCAGGGAGGAGTTGCAGAGGGATAGCAGCAATCAAGTAAGGGTAAGAACCCCCTTCGCGGGGGTTCACGGGAAGGGCAGGGTATAAATATAATGAAAATAAATAAATACATAAATACTGCCCCCACTACTCCCTACCCCACTTCAGAAAGAGATTCACTATACTCACATGTATTAACATTGTTGCACTCCTTGGTTTGCAACAGTGTTGGCCACAGAACAAATGCAGGGTTGATCTTCTCCGAATGAGATTTGGGGTTTAAAGATGGCTGCATCTTTTGCTTTTCCGCAATATGCAGCGTTTCACCTTTGTTTGTCTCGTAGTAGGCAAAGCTTTTTGCAACAAGATCATCATTCACACATACCTACAAAGAAAAGAGATTTCTTGCATTTGATGATTTAATGTAAAGAGAGAAATCAAAACATGTATTACTACTAACTGCAGGCTTGCACATTACCAACATAGCACAATAGCTATTTAAAACAGACCCCTGCTGCTTTCTTTTACTGTAAGGCTAATTTTCCAGCCAAAACTCTGTTCCTCACTTTTTTGAGCAGCCCCTTGGTAGCGAATGTTAATAAACAGTTTATGACGTCTGTGTGTCCTACTGTGTGGTAGAGAATAGAAGTAGAAGAACAACAACCTTTATTAGCATAACAACCATATTATAACAGAAAAAGAAAACAGTCTGAACAATCAAGGCCCTCCCTGTCTGCTGATACATTGCTTGCCTCCTAGATACAAGGTGCACAAATTTGGCCAGTTTCAATCACCATTTCGTTCTGAGTAGATAATCTCTCCATATTATAAAGCTAATTTGGGGTGACCATGCTCGATGTGCTCCCTCAGCCATAGGCTGAGGCATCCGCCAGTCATACCAGGGACTCTGGCCACTGGCCACGGTCTCTGCCGCCTGCCCACAGATCAGGCGCTGGGGTGAACGTGCCCAGCGATAGGCTGAGCCACCTGCTACTCATGCCGGGGATGCTGGCCACTGGCCACGGTCTCTGCCGCCCACCCACAGATGAGGCTCCGGGACGAACATGCCCCATGATAGGCTGAGCCAACTGCCACTCACACCGTGGGTGCTGGCCGCGGTCTCTGCCACCCGCCCACAGATGACGCGCCAGGGCAAACGTGCCCCATGATAGGCTGAGCCAGTTGCCACTCACGCCGGGGACGCTGGCCACTGGTTGCGGTCTCTACCGCACGCCCACAGATGCGGCGCGGGGGGAACGTGCCCCGCAATTCGAACACGCCCTGGCGGGGTCTCGCCCTGCCACCCAAAGAACCGCCACGCAGCGTGGGAAGATCGCCAGTGGCCAATGGCTAGGGTTCGTTGTCTTCCCCCACAATGGGCTTTCCTCCTAGTGTATCCATAATGTACAATATAGAATTTTCACCCTCCACAGTAGCTATTTCCTCTAGGGGAACTGATCTATTTAGTCTGGGCATCAATTGTAATTCCAGGAGACCTCCAGGTCCCGCTTGTAATTGTATGTCTTTTAATGCAATAACACACTTTGTACTTTACTTGTACTTTGCATGGTAGTTTATCTTATATCGCTATAAATATTTTTGTAAAAAACAGATTCTGTTTACATTCTTCAAGGCTGCTTTTGTAGGTTTGGCAACCTCACTCAATAGCTCAGCTGAGGCAGCACACCTAAACCACAGTTTGAGGACATGGAACATTCTCTTTACGCATGTCAGTCCCTTCCTCCACTTACTGGTTCACATTAACAATAGTTTGCCATGATAGCTGAACTAGCCAAGCTATAGGTGAATATAGATGGCCACCTTACTATGTGGTTGCCTGGCCGTTTGCATTACATGCAAACTGGAAGGTCTGTAGTTCAACAGTTCGAGACCCTGGTGCCGTGTGATGGAATGAGCTCCTGTCTCTGGTACCAGCTCTTTCCAACCTAGCAGTTCGAAAGCAAGAAATTACTAGTAGATAAATAGGTACTGCTTCGGCGGGAAGGTAACAGCATTCCACGTGCCTCAGCAATTAGTCCTGGCGGTTCTTACTATGCATTCACTAGTGTCATCACATTAAACTCAATACCGTTTATCAATTATTGTTCCCACTGAGTTAGAAATCAATATAATTCACTCCTGAATGTGTGTTAATTTCAGAGTTGCTTTATATATCATTTAAAAAATTATGCAGTTTTCCCCAAGAATACTCACTCTTCTTTCAATAACAACTTATTGATACAAAATAGTTTGTTTTCACCCACAATTATCACATGCATGAACAGCAAACACTGTGTCCCCAAAAAGAGCTGTAGCTCAGCGGTACAGCACATGGTTTACACTCAAAAAAGTCAGGTTCAAACCCTAGAATCCACAGTTAAAAGGACTTCAGGCGGCAAAGCTGTGAAAGGCCTCTGCCTGACATTTTGCAGAATTGCTATTAATTTCAGCAGATGGTTCTGAGCTAAAGGGAACAGTGATCTGATCCAGAATAAAGCACTTTCATGTGTTTTCATGAAAAGGTTTTGAAAATGCTCAACCAACCATTGCCAACAAGGTATCACTGGAAAGCATGTGGTACAAAGACTATGTGGCTAAATTGCACAAGACCAGACCACTGGTTTCAGAATTCAGATTCTAAGGGATCCTAAGTCCCTTGCTATAACTGTGACATCAGAGTAGCAACATAAGCCAGAAACTATGATACCTCTGATTTTGACACACTATCAAAGAGGATCTGCCACTTGCTGCGGGATAACTTTGATAGCCAGTGGGATTTGAACTTTCTAGTAATGATTTTATAGTCTACATATATTAAATTTTATATTATCCATTAGTCCTCCTTAACTGGTATTTCTATTATTATTGAATTGTGAACATCAAATTGACTTTATACCTTGTGAAAAAAAACCTTAAATGTGTCTTCTGAGTTCATAAAATTGCTTCCAAGTTATTTCTGGTCTCTCTTCTGCAAAAGGATTTTGAGCCTCTCTCATTAGTCCTCCTTAACTGGTATTTCTATTATTATTGAATTGTGAACATCAAATTGACTTTATACCTTGTGAAAAAAACCTTACATGTGTCTTCTGAGTTCATAAAATTGCTTCCAAGTTATTTCTGGTCTCTCTTCTGCAAAAGGATTTTGAGACTCTCTGCTTCAGAGACATTTGTTAGACTTTGTTTTTCTTAGGGAGCATAAATGATTTATTGCCTTTTGCCTGGAGAAGCACCAGGTATAACTTGAAACCAGCACCGTCTGAATCTGGTCTGTTTCTAACATATAATGCAGGTATGTTCTGTGGCATTTTTCTCTCCCAAAACTCTTTTATTTTTTATAAGAGTTCTGGAGAACTTGAAAGCTCATACACTGTTATGTGTCATTTGGTTAAAAAGATGGCATTATGTAGATTGCATTCTTAAGTTTCACTTTTTAGATTCTACTTTTGGACCAGCAATAGCTGTAAACAACTTATTTTCTTACCATTCAGGAGATTTTGGAAGTATTTTATAGCTGCAACATCCCACCTGTTAGCAGGGCTACAATGAAGTACATAATTATTTCTCTGTAGTATTTTTATAACTTAGAAGAACATATACAAAATTTATATAATTTCCCTTCACTGACTATAGTTAAATGAATCAGTAGAATTCTGAAAGGTTGAACATTGTGTAGATCGCAAACTATGTGCAAGAGGGCCAACCATGACGATGGCAGAGAATTCTGCAAACCATAGGAAAATCTTACTCCATAAAAACAACAAAAAGTTTGAGGCAACCCTCATCCCACCCTCACAAAAAAACAAATGTATCCACAATCTCTGTGCAGATATTGGGGGGAAAGACGTTGGCTGGAAACTGGCTGCCTTTTTGGGTTTCCCAGTGACCATAATGGTGGTGCTTGCCTTGAGATTAGAGAAGGGGGATCAGAAGTAGCAATCTGGATATGCAGGAAGTGGTGGTGGGTAAGCTAGGGGCAGGGAGAAGCAGCAAGCAGGAGGGGTGGAAGCAGACGAAGGGGGAAACTAGATTTCCCCTTCCCCATGCTTCCTTGCAAGTCCCTGGTTGTCTTAAACTAACAAGGAAAATGTTAAGTCTATCTCACTGAGATCTACATAAACCACATTTACATTTTTATTTTAGAAAAACACAAAGTGGAATTCTGCAAGACAGAAAGAGAGAGAAGTTTATTCTTCAAGTTCCATTGGGTAGACATGTGACATGTCAGCTCTAGCCCATAAACACTTATGCTGCAATGTTAGTTGATCTTTAAGGTGCCACAAGGTGGGGTGTTTTCTACAGACTGGGAACTGTTAAATGGAGAGGACCTACCTTGCAGCTATTGTGAGCATTATTCAAACTGCTGTCTGGAAGATCTAGCCTACAGAAACCATAATGCTGAAAAATAACATCACATAATCCCTCACAAATCATACTTACACAATCTCTGCACTGTTGTTACTGTAGTCAACACGCAGGGTTACTGGTTTTGTACAGTACAGCCTAAACTTCTTTGCCCTGTAAGGCAGTCTCATAAATGATTCTAAGGCAATACAAATCCTTGAAAACAGACAGATTTCAGAACATAGTATTATTAAGCCTTGACAAACAAGCCCCTTTCTAAAAACTGAATATTTCATACAAAATAAATTATACACAAATTCTCGCTCATTTGCTCTCTCAACAGTTCTGTGCTGTATGTGCTGTTATTCCTCCTTTATAAAATGGGGACAAGATGGTGATCTGCCCAAGATCATTCAGCAAATTCATTAAAATATGAATCCAGGTGTTTCCAGCTCCACCTATATCAGTCCATCAGCTAGACTGCAGTGACTGAGAAAGCTCATGGGGGAAAAGGCTAACACTGATGTTCCTTTTAGATCTCAAAGGTCTTGTCTTAGGCCACGATATGTACACTGTACAGAGACTTTACCCAACGTCATGACATACCTGTCTGCTTTCACAGGAACACTCTTGGCATGGTCTACAAGGAAGCACTCAACGAGGTAACAATCTGTACATGAAACAATTGACTTAACAATGGCCCTGCACCAGGATTTCAGCTCCTGGGAATAAACCACACAAACCTGAAAAAGAAACATATCATGCTGTATGCTTTTGATTCTGTACAAACCATGCTGAGTTGGATGGAATTCAAAGCAAGTTTACAGATAAATATATATATATATTACCCTAAGGTTGGTTCTCAAAAAAAAAAAAAAAAAAAAAAAGACAGAAAGAGCTCTGACATCAATTTTTTCTTTAAGAAAACCCACACACCCCATATAAAATATTGGCCAAATATGACTCTCTACTGTCGCATTCAATATTCCATTTCTGGGCCTTCTGTTGAAATTTAAGACAATATAATGCATTTTCAATGCGAATGAAACCCCTCACCAAAAAGTACAAACTGACCTAGAGCCCTGGGAAAAAACACAACTAATACCACTTTAAGTTCAATATTCCACTAGTCCATGCACTCCTCAACCTTTACAAAATCAGTTGCGATTTTTAATTTATTTTATTTCTCAATGACAGTATATACTCCAACAACGCTGGGGTCATTTTTACTCTCCAAATGCACAGACAAAACGAACAAATATACAGGGTGACATAAATAAAAGGCTGTATTTTATTAATTTAATTTCAAAGTTGTTCCTGCTGTTCTATTTCTTTACTACTGGAGAAAAATACATAATAAAGCTCTTTTTTTAAAAAAAAGTATCAGCTCGTAGCATGTTCAGTGTTTATATCTGTATAACTCATAGTGCCATCTTAACCAGAGTTACACCCTTCTATATCCATTGAAGATAATGGGTATATAAGGTTATAACTCTCTTAGGATGGCACTGCTACTTTAGGATTTCAACCCCCCCCCACCGAATTAGTAAACTACATGTTTAGTTTGGAAAAGGACTGAACAACAAAGTGACTAATATCCACACACACCTTAATTTTTCACTCTTCCCCTTTCTGTTTTGTACACACGAAAGTTGAACATTAGCATGAAATTACCTGCCCTTCTTCTAACACAGATGGCTTGACTTCATCCACACCTCTGCATGATTTGTTATAGAACAGATTCATTTCTTTGTGAAGTTTTTTATAATCTGTTTCATTTTCTAAAAATCTTCCACCTCCTTTGATGTGAACCCAAAAGCAGTCTGGATTTTCAATCTAATCAATCAGCAAATCATAGTGAAAACCATATTAAAACATCACACTACTTATCAAAAGGAAACATATTTCATGTTTAGAGAGTGTCTTAATATTCTCAGACATGAACTTATCAAAAACAGACAATACCTTCAGTATAAAGATGTCAATCATTTTCTTTCTCCAATATCCTTTTCAGCTACGCTTGTAGAGAATCCCAAGCTTTACATACCTCTTAAAAGTCAAAAAAGAACAAGTATGTAAAAGCATGTGAGGTATATAAAAGGCAAAACAGAACAAGTATGTAAACTGCATAAGATCTTAAAAGTCCTTAAAGTACTATAGTGAAGCTTAAACAACCAGGTTGCAATCCAAGGCGTTTTACAGTTTTGGACATGCATACTCAGTTTTAACTCCAATTTGGTGTCAGTGGAAAATGCTGGCAGGTTGCAAGCAACTTATTGCATTACTTTGCAGTAACCCCATAGGGTTTTTCAAAACATGAGACATTCAGAGGTGATTTGCCATTGCCTGCGTCTGCATAGCAACCCTGGATATCCTTGGTGGTCTCTCATCTAAGTGCTAATCAGGATCGACCCTGCTTAGCTTCTGAGATCTGACAAGATTGGGCCAGCCTCGACCATCCAGCATTTTAAAGACAAAATCAGAAGCAAACCAGGCTGCAACCACCACAGTTCTATGCCCTGCTAGATTCGAGTCCAATAGCACCCTAGAGACCAACAAGACTTTGGGAGTATAAGCTGGGTCTCTACAGTGCTATTGGCCTTAGATGATCTACCGCAGACCAACGTGGCTACCATGTGAAACAGTTCTATATCCTGTTTCTAGTTACAGTTTCATGATCACCAATATGTTCAATCTATTCTACATATGAACTGAATTTCTGTGTTTCGTGGTGCTATGAGGCAGAAGGTTGGGGGAAACCATCCTTGGAGACCAAGAGCAAGTGCTAGAGCAGGGGTCCTCAACATGCCTCAGACTGGCTGTGCACATTAAAAAGCATCCTGTTAAATGGAACTTCTGCCTGATGTTTTGTGGTTGGTGCTGCTTCTTGCAGCATCCATTTTGTGACTGTGCCCAGTGACAGAATTTCAAAGGTGCCTGCAGGCTCAAAAAGGTTGGGGACGCCTGTGCTAGAGCACTGCCCAGATGCAATGTCAGTGCTTCCAGGTCACACCAGAAGGGGTGTCATTGTGTGGCAGCAATGACTGTGCCCACCTGTGGTAAATACTCGCCTCCCCCAATTCGTGCAACAGGTAGCTACCACGATGCCCATCACTTGAAGAGCTTAGGCAGAATTTTACAGGCCCGCTTCTGCCTCTCTGTCAAGCACAGGGTAACCTCCCAGGAATACCAGGGTCCTCCTGACACAGAGGCAGGCAATGGCAAACCCCCTCTGAAATGTCTCTTGCCTTAAAAACAAGTCTAGCTTGACATCTAGTGGTGCGTAATGCTAAAAAAGCTAGAACTTCTTCCTGCCAGACAATCTTAGGATCTTTTGGCTATTCTACACACAATGCCATACTATAATTATTATTACACCCACCCTCTCATCTGGCTAAACATGCAGCCTGGCTCATCTGAGAGCTGTCATACACGGAATCCAGGCCTTCTGTATTTAAGTGATCTGGGAATGACAAAGGCTCTCTTAAATAAAAAGATTAAGTTTATTTGGAAAATAGAGGAAGGGGAAACTTGTGTGTTAATTACTTGCACCAACAAAGGGGAACAGGACCTAACTAAACTAGTTTCCCAGCTTAATGGCTCGCAGTTCATCGGCGATCCTGAGCTACGGTGGCCTGAAAGAGACCTACCCTTACAAGAGGCTCCTCTTCCCTTCCTTCCTCCTGGAAAAGCATGCTTAATTCATTTCCTATCCTTGCATGGATGGGTACTCTATATAGCCCAGTGGTGCTACGGCAAGCTGGGCTTCGGAGGGACCATTCTGTGGTGGTTCCGGTCCTATCTGGAAGGCTTCAGAAGATGGTGTTGGGGGCTGCTGCTCAGCCCCTTGGCCTCTGAGGTTCCATAACGTTATACTTTGTCCCGTATGCTCTTTAACATCTGCATGAAACTGCTGGGTAAGGTCACCCAGAGGTTTGGGCTAGGTTTGTCACCAACATGCATAACTGTCAGCTCCATCTCACACTTCCAGATGATCCCAGGAAGGTTATAGAAACCCTGAACCGGTGCCTGGAGGCAGTTCTGGAGTGGATATGGCTAATAAACTGAGGCTTAATCTCTACAAAATAGAAGTGTTACAGGTGGGCAGAAGATCTAACCCAAGATTTAAGGAGTCACCTATTCCGGATGGGGTGCATTCCCCTTGAAGGAACAGGTCTATAGTCTGGGGGTGCTCTTGGAACCAGACCTACTACTGGATACATAGATGGCAGCTGTGGCTAGGAGTGTCTTTTGCCAGCTTCAGCTGGTTAGCCAGCTGTGGCTTCCCTGGGCAGAAAAGTTCTGGCCACTGTGGTGCACAACCTGGTTACGTGTAGATTAGATAACTGCAATGTGCTCTACGCAGGACTGTCCTTGAGAAGTGTTCAGAAACTTCATTTGCTACAATATTGGCCCATCTCACTGGTTCCTAATTTGCTGTCAAGAACAAGTCAAGGGGGTGGTCTTGACCTTCAAAGCCCTATATGGTCTGGGACCAACCTAATCACATATGAATCTGCCTGACCACCGTAGTCATCTTTGGAAGCCCTGGTTTGGGTGCTCCTGCCCTCTGAGGTTAGGCGGGTGGCAACCTGGAAGAGGGCCTTCTTGAGCATGACACCAAAGTTCTGGAACTCTCTCCCCAGGGAGATTCGTCTGTTCCCTTCTGCTGTCATCTTCTGCCAGGGGGTTAATACTTCTTCAATTTTGTTTGGCTTCCTCTCAGTGATCCCTCTTCCCTGACCAATGTTTTAACTGCTGTTTCTATGTCTTTGTACGTATTTTAATTTTGTTTTAAATTTCTTTTAGTGATGCGTGTTGAGGGGGGTTGATTTTAATGGTTTTAAAATGTGATCTTATCAAGTATGTTTTAAATTGTTAGCTGTGTTGGTGGTCCTTGTGAGGGCAGAAAGATGGGTTATATATTTTGTTAATAAATAAATACAATAAATCTCCAGGTAACAGACCTCAGGTAGGGATGCCAACCTCCATGTGGGGCCTGGAGTTCTCCCAGAATTACAGCTGATCTTCAGACACCAGATATCCTGCAAGAAACAGCAGTTCCAGAGGGATGACTCCACGGCATCTCATCCCTGCTGAGCTTCCTCCCCCACACTCTGCCCTCCCCAGAGAGTGCCCACAAATTTTCAGAAATGTCCCAAACCAGAGCTGGCAACTCTAGGTAGCAGATGCTAGGGGAAAGACCCTTCTTTGTCCAAGATCCTGGAGAGTTAGCTGCTGTCAGGCAGAGAAGACAATACTGATCCACAATGGTCTGATTCGGTTTAAGGCAATTTCATAGGTTAATAATTAGGATTTAAAATGATCTTGGGCCTGAAATCCTTGGTGGATAAGGCAATTTCATAGGTTAATAATTAGGATCTTGGGCCTGAAATCCTTGGTGGACGATCGTCTAGAGCAGGGGTAGCCAAACTTACTTAACGTAAGAGTCACACAGAATAAACCTCAGGTGTTTGAGAGCCGCAAGACATGAACAAGTATCGCACACACTTTTTATTGAGAAATATGAACATTTGCTTTTTATTAGCATTAAATGAGACTGCCAAAAATAAAAACAAAAGGGGCAAAAATAGATATTTATACTGATATTTGTTTGCTAATGATATTTATTTGTCTAAGAGAGAGAGATGGAAAGAAAGAATGAAAGAGATGGAAAGAAAGAAAGAGAAAGCTAAAGAAAGCAAATAGATGGGGGAGGGAGGGGAAGGAAGAGATACAGAAAGGAAGAGAGAGAAAGAAACAAAGAAAGCAAACAGATGGGGAGCCTGCCAGGAGCCACACTATATGTGTGAAAGAGCCACATGCAGCTCCCGAGTCACAGTTTGGCCACCCCTGGTCTAGAGGTTGCAGAGGGTATTAGAGTGTCATAGCAAAATCAAACAAATGTCCAGTCAGTCTAGGGTTCCCAAATCTAGGTTGGGGAAATTCCTGCAAGTTTGGAGGTGGACCCTGGGGAGGGCAGGAATCTCTGTCAGGTATAATGCCATAGAGTCCACGCTCTAAAGCTGTCGTTTTCTCCAGGAGAACTGATCTCTGTAGCCTGGAGATCAGAGGTTCCTTCAGGAATTTGGGAAATTCTGGAAGGTTTGTGGGCACTTTCTGGGGAGCAGGGCCCCCAGGGGGCCCACGCCCCCACATGAATGTGCCATGCCCCCCCTCCCCCAGGAGGCGGAGGGAGCCCTGGGGCTGGTTCCAGGCATCCCATTCTTGGTTCATCTCAGGAGCCACACCAAGTAATAATAATAATGTACTTTATTTTTATTGTCATTGTACATAGTACAACGAAATTAAAGATGCAATCATTTCGGTGATCTACAACAATATTCATATACACTCACATACCATTCACAACTGTCCCATAACTCCCTTAAGGTTCACATAACAACTTAAAACCACCAATGTCACCCAAAGTGCAGTGGCATAAAGGTATGGTGAACGGGTGGTGGCAGCTCTAGCGTGGCTCAGGTAAAGGCTCCTCCCTCCTTTGCTGGGGGGCGCTAAGGCAAGGCACCGCCCCCTTCCCCACATCCGTGGAGCCTGCCTTTGCGGGCGCGTCCCACCTGACCCCGGCCAGCCAGCATGGCCAGTGGAGAGTGGCGGTTGGTGGGTATCGCATCTGCCCCTTCCGTGCCTCAACTGAGGGGAGACGCCTGAGCGGCGCCTTTCCCGCTCTTTCAGGCGGATTGGGGAGGGGGGGAGGGGGGGTAGGAGCCCTTATGCGCGCGCGCGCAACCCAGCCAGCCCCTCCCCTCCCTTTCTCCACCGTTGCGCGCGCCTCCCTTCTTCTCCCCCCCCCCCCCTCCCGC